AATGAAATCTGTGTGACCATAGAGAAATGGAAACCAAAACTGTTTTTTCTTAAACTTCAAAGGGAAAAGCCAGGAAATTTTAGCTGCCTCAACAGAACACCAGGTACAGACTGGAAATAGATGGACTAGTTGCATAAAGTGACCCAGAAAAAAAAACCAAAAAACAAACAAACAAAAAACCCTCAAAGATTGACATACTTTGTATTTATCTCACTTTTGATGATTGTCTCTGTAAGAAGTGTCTGAGCAAATGAGACAAAACCTGTTGTGCCTTCATATAGCACACAGGATAATATATATTACTCAGATACACAAATCAAGTTTCTAAAAATGTGTGTGTGTGTGTGTGTGTGTGTGTGTGTGTGTGTGTGTGTATGATGGATGTGTGTGAGCATGGGCTCACAGTGGAGGTCAAAGAGCAATCTCTAGAAGTCAGTTCTCTCCTTCCACCGTGGGTTCTGTGACTCGAACTTAGACCATCAGGTTGAACTCAGTTTGTTAGGCTTACTGGCTTACCCAGCTGTTACTTTTACTCACGGAACCGTTTGTCTGGCTCTACAGTTAAAAGTTTTGCACGTTGAGGAAGTTCAGACATTCAATCATTGAGACCGTATCTAGACTGGGGAAGATATGCCTGGTCAAAAACCATGTGGACATGAACGCTGATGATTAGATAGCAAATAGATCAAGGGGCAGTGTGTTGGAGTAGTTAATAGTGATCAGCAGACAAACACAGTAAGTGAAAGTCGGAGTGGTGAAGGTGTGGTATGCACAAGAGAGCCAGAGTGCCCAGAAGCAGAAAGTGAAAGGGGGGGGGTATGATTGGAGATGGTTTGATGGATGTACACACTTAGGCACAAGTAAGCAAGCGTCCTTACTAAAAACTGACGTCAGAGTGCTTCAGCTAAAATGATGTGACCTAAGGAGGTGGCTCAGCAGTTAAGAGTTCTTCCAGAGGTCCAGGGTTTTATTCTCAGAACCTACCCAGTCGAAAGCAACTGTTTAGATCACCACTTCCAGAAGATCGAATAGGCCCTCTGGCCTCTGTAGACTCTAAACGTGTGGCGTGCAGACAAACATATAGGCGTTACAGCCATACAAATAGAGCAACAAAAGAGCAACAGATATTTTATAGAAAGAAAATGCTGTGATCCTAGTTTATTCTCAAATGTCAGTCTGTGGTAGTGGGGTGACAGGTGTGGTGGTGTGCCTATAATCCCAGTACACACGGAGACAGAGGCAGGAAGATTGCCAAACGTTATAGGGCAGCGTGGAATACATAGCAAGTTCCAGGTCAGTATATAGGGAGACCCTGTCTCAAAAAAAGACGGGGCGGGGAGGGGGGGAGGGATGAAAGAGTCAGGGGAATCTTTCAATTTTAATAATAAATAATTCAGTATAACATTCTTATCAAGAAGAAGCATAGAAGTTGAACCAAAACTATTTTTTAATTTCATTTATTTTGAGAGAGTACTGATATGTAATTCAAGCTGGTCTTAAATTCACTATATATCCCAAGCTCCCCATGAACTCAATAAAACTTAAGATCCTCCTGCCTCAGCCTTCCAAGTGATTGGTTGTAGGTATGCTCAGTCACACATGGCTCAGACTACATAGTGTTTCGCTTGCTCAGAGGTAACATGACAAGAAAGAATCAAAGAGAGAGATCTGGGAGAAGGAAAGTTGGAGAGGTAAGTAAAACACTTGGGCCCATGTTGTTCAGAGAGGTGGCTGGGATGCTGTGCAGAACTTTGAACAATTAACAGTCATAGAGATAAAATGGAGATCTGAGGTCAAGGGGAATGGCGTCAGGCTTTGGGTTGGGAACCAAAGAACTATCTAGGAAGAAGGGGTAAGCTGGAAATTGACCAACCATTCCAGAGAGTTGAACCCTTCTCTCTCAAGTTCTCTAATGTAATTCAGTTGGACTGGGTTAAAGATGCTTTAGGATTGCCTTTGATTTTAATCTTTTGCTGCAAGATAAGTCCTTTAAGCAAGATAATATTCTTTAAGACCTGGAGCTATTTTTATGATTATTCAAATGCAATACATTCACTGAAAAATAACTAGATAAGCATTCATAATCTGATGGGACAGGTCAAAGAACATCGAAGCCAAACTGGAGAGCTTACTGAGCACAATAGGTCAATCTGAATAATAGTGAAATAATGGTAGTTCGTTACACATATTTAACTTAAAAGAAATTCATAAATATACAAAAATATTCCAAAAGTGGGGGAGTATAAAAGAGAGCAAGCTCTTGGGCTGTTCTGTTTGTTTTTTTTGTCCTTTGAGGTAGGGCTAAACAGTAAACGTAAAACCCAGGTTGACTCAAATTCAACCTCCTAAAGAACTGGGACTACAGCCATTTAACACCACACCTAGCCGAGAAAGTTCTGCCCAGAACAATAGCTAGGAAATGTGGACAGACTGATGGAATTAGAACATCATTTGGCTAGCTAATATAGTAATTACTAAGTTGATATAAATACTGCTAGGTGAAAGGTTAGAAGATATTCAGTCTTAAAGTAGTCTGTATTGTCCACACTTCCCCAGCGAGGCTACACCTCCTCCACAGCAGCACCAGCCAAGGTGGACCTAATGTTCAAATACCTGAGCCTACAATGGACATTTCTCATCCAAACCACCACAGTGAGTTTCAAGCTTAATAGCAAGACCTGTTTCGAAATAAAACCCAAGATATCAATGTCATGAATTCCAAGTTGTGGGATTTCCTATAAAACTGAAAACATATTCATATCATGAGAGATTAAAAAAACTGTTTTGGATTGAAGAACATTAAAGGCTATGTCTGATTGTTACTTACATCGTGAATATTTTAAAATATTATAATTATATTCAGGTTAAGTTTTTGTTTTAATTTTGTTTTGAGACAAGGTCCTCACTCACTGTGTAGCCCTGAATGGCAGCAAACTCACAGAGATGCTTTCTCCCCCCCCATTTATTCATCCATTTATTTTAATTTTAGTGTGTGTGAACCTGTGTGTGTGTGTGTGTGTGTGTGTGTGTGTGCACATGCAATAGTGCATGTATAGAGGACAAAGATCCACCTGTGGGAGTTGATGATCTCCTCGCACCTTGTGGGTCCTGAGGATTTAAAATCAGGCTTTCCAGGTTGGTGGCAAGGGCCTCTACTTGGGAACCATCTCCCAACTCTTTGTTTTTCTTTAATTACATCTATTTATTTATCTCCGTATATTTATTTATATGTGTGAGGGCAGAGGGCAACTTGCGGGAGTCAGTTCTTCCACCATGTAGGTCCTGAGACTAAAACTCAGGCCATTTGCCTTAGTAGCAAGCGCCTTTACCCACTAACCACCTACATGGCCCACTGTTTGCTCGTAAAGGGAAGGGGTCCATGCGGAAATATTTAGGGGATGAAGAATCATTTTGTATGTAGAGTAAGATCACATGCTTCAGGTGTATCTAAATGTTTATACATACAGAGCTACAGGCAAGCGTCCCTCACTTTGAATAATTATAGAAACGGTGTAATGCTTAGTTAGTATGGTGGAATACCTGTAATTCCCAGGAGGTGGGGCGGGGGGGGGGGGATCAGTTTAAAAAGTCATTGTCGGCAGGGCAGCTCCACTGTGGGTTCCAGGCCAACCTGCATTACATGAAGTGGCTTGACAGGTAAAGGGAGAGAGCCAGCTCCCTCTAGTTCTCTGACTTCCACATGAGCACCATAATATATACATACACACATACAAACACATACAAGTAAGTGAGAAAAAAGAAAAAGCAGCTGGGAGTGAGGAACTGGGGTGAATATGATCAAGATACATTATATACATATATGAAATCATCAAAGAATAAAACTATTCTTGAAAATATCATTGTGAAAATATTGACTCATTTATAAAACGAAAAATGAAAGTAAAACTGATTTTTATTTAGTACACAGTCAGATAAAAAAAAAATTAGGAACACTGGTCTGGAGAGGTGGCTTAGCAGTTAAAAACACTGCTATTCTTACAGAGGACCTGGATTTGAGCTCAACACTCACATGGTGGCTCACAACTGTCAGGGATCCAATAGCCTCTTCCTGCCTTCCCAGGCACCAGGCACACCTGTAATGTACAGGTATACATACAGGTAGAACATCTACACATTTTAAAAATTTTTAAAAATGGGAAACATTGAGTACTATTTTTTCTATAAAAAACATAGCAAGAGTAATTTGAATAGCATTGCTTCTTCTGACCATAAAACTTAACCTGTGAGTCAACCATCTTTTTTATGCCTTCACAGATGTTTACCTAAGTTTGAATCAGCTAACATTATTTTTCTTTAATTTTAAAAAGTTTTATATTAAATTGTGTTTCTGTTGACTTGTGGCTGGCAGGATGATTGGTTTTTCTGGGCAAATGTGGGCGTATGGAGGAACCAACATGGAGCATCCTTAGATCAGAAAGCCGCTGGAGAGAGAATGTAACCATAAGGGGTGAGAGTGTGACCCCATAGATAGCCAGGGGCTGAGGGGGAAATTTTCAGGGGACAGGCAGGAAGAAAAGCATTGCCTGTGTGTGGGAGCAACGGTGGCTAACGCAGAAGGAGTCTCGGGTGGGGACATAGCTCAGTGTTGCCTGCAGTCTTCCACACCACAAGTCACCGCCACCACCAAGAGGAACATCCACCCCGAATTTACAAAAGCACAAGCACCCCTTGAAGGAGAGTGAGCAATGGTGTTCTGTGGTAACGGAGACAGATCAATCAAGTGAATCCTCCGTGGCCTCTCCTCCTGAATAGAGACTGCTCTTGCAATGGACTAGGAGAAATGTTATGACTTGTAAGAAGCCATGAAAGTTGTCTGCCCTTGGAATAAGAGGTTGAGGAGGAGGAGTTAACTATTCTACAGAGGAGGATAAGAAGAGGAATCAGGTGAAGAGAACTCATTTAATTTTGCACTACAGAACGCCATCACTGTAATGCTATTGACACTAGGATTGTGAGCTAATGATGGCGAGGTTCAGAACGTGACTGTGGTAACGGCTGATTCTTGTGGACTGGACTAGAACGTCGCGGAGAATGAAAGGGTCGAGGTGCAGAGGCCTTGGCGGACTCATTTTTGTAGGTGATGTCGTCTTCAGTGCTGGCAAAGAGTAAAATAGAGCCAGTGCAAGCCACGAGCCCAAGTCAGGCGTTCTCAAGCTGGAGTGCATCATCTCAAAAACAGCTACCGCGCTTCGCCGGCGTACAGAGGAGCGAACCGGCCGACGGAGGATAGAGACTAGGCTTCTGTATAGTTTTACCATATCCTCGGGGGATTTGAATTCTACAACAAAATTTGAAGCCCACTTCCTAAAACTTAGTGGAGAGAGGTAACTGATGAACCCATCCATAACAAAAGAGGTAACTGAGGAACCCGTCCATATCAAAATCTACCGGAAGAAAGGGGGAGACTGTAGTTGAGAGCCCTAAGGAAGCAAACTTTTGTTAAAAAGTGGGTGTCGGTAGGCAAACAAGGCCTATTTGGGACTTATCTGGGACCAGCAGACGAGAAGAAAGTCAGCCCGGATCCTTGGGCCCAGGCTGGCGGAAGGACAGCCAGGTGACGGGGTGGTGCCGGGTGTGTGGGCCTCCCGGAATGGTTCTTATGCCATGGAAAGACACGTAAAAGAAGAAAGGTAAATGGAGAGGGCTGGGCAGATGTTAGAGGCCACCTTGCCACCTGGGGTCATGGTGATGGCCGTTACGGGGAGAGTGAGGAAAGAGGTCTGCTTGCCATCCGGGGCCAGGGCAATGCTCAGATCAGGCTGCTGCCAAGGGCCTTGCCTGGGTCTCTGGTCCTACAGTAGCCAGGGTCTGTGTTGATATCCATGGCTCCGGTTACCATTAAGTACCATACTGACTCCAGTGGGCTGGGCCGCCTCCTGGGTCCGAGATCGGGTTCACTAGCCATACTGCCGCTCGGGCCGTACTGATCTGGATGGCCTTTGCCGTTACCTGGGGCCACAGAAATAGTAATGAGGGCGACTAACTTCCCATACCTTTATCCTTAACTGTTATTTTCCTTTCTGTGATAACGAATGTTATCATGGAATTATGACTCTTAAAAAATATACATTGAAAGTCCTAACCAATTATGTTTCAAAATGTTTCCTTCTTTAGAAATAAGGTCACAGGAGTTTGAAATGCATGTAGTTAGTGAAAATGAGGGCATTACATTAAGTGGGCCCCAAGCTAATATGAAAAAAGTTATTATTATGTGGAGATGGCTACATGCACAACAGACCCTCAGGCAGAATGCTATATGATAACAGAGGGTAGCTTTATGGAGCTGCAAGAAAGGTGTCACAGGTTGTCACCATAACACCAGAGGCTAGGACAGGGATGTCAAAGGTTGCTACCATATCACCAGAGGCTAGGACAGGGATGTCACAGGCTGCCACTTCTAATCTCCAGGACTTAGAAAATAGATCTGGGTGGCAGCTTGTTAGAGCTTTCCTAGAAAAAACATCGAGATGGACATATTCCAAAACGTTCTTTCCTACATCCTGTCCCTGGCCTGGCCTTGCTCCTTTGTACCAAACTTAGAGTCTCTCTCAGGACAGAGAAACCCTGTGTGAATCAGTGGATATCTTCAGCATAGCAACAGAAAGAAAGAGAAAAAAAGGAGAGGGGAAAAAAAGCTCATTTCTTCCAACATGCTGGAGCTGAACATAGCACACATTATCTCTTCTTGATGGGATGCCTGACTTCTGCCTTTGCTGTTGAGCAATGAATCGGTCCATATGAGATAGGTAACTTACCGGAGGAGGTGTATGTGATATACCTACATGTTGCTTAGAATAAGGCATCTCCCATGAAGAATGTTCAGGCTTCACAAATGCTGAGGAAGCTCCTCCCGTGCATACAATGGTTCCCGTCCCCCACGGCCTCCCACCATTTCTACTTTCGCAGTGTCTCCTTGCTTCTCACTTAAAGGAAAGGCTTGGTTGAAGAATTGTCAAAAAGACCACACTAGCTCGCTCCAGGAAGGATTAAGTTCCTGATTTATTTAGCAAAATCTACAGAAAACAACAGAGAGGTGTCGCTCAGGGAAGGAACAAAGAAACAGACTATGTCACATTCGGCTTTCTGAGGTCTCCGATGGCTCCTTATTCTGATGTGTCAGAACAATACCACTAAAAATATCACTTAGAAAAATTAAGTTTTCAGGAAGTCCCCAAGGGTTCAGGCGAAGGACTAAAAGGGTTTGAAGATTCCCGAGGGAGCATGCAGTAGTTGTTGCCAGCTTAGGAATAGTCTAGGACTTACATATGGAAGAGGGCCCATGGGCTAAGCTTTCTCTTTTATTGCACAACCTTCAGGATGGGCTGGAGGAGGAGTGGGTATGTTAAAAGGACATCTGGGCTAGAGATACACGTACAAGATTCTAAAACTTAACCCAGCCCTCCGTAAGATAGTTTTACTCGGATGCTCTGGAACTGACGGAATCTCGCTGCATTAAACACTTAGCTCATCCTCCTATTCCATCTCCCTCCACCAATTTTGTGTCCTTCTCTTCAATTTCCTTTTTCTGTGCTTTCCTACACAAAAAAAGTCTTTTGTGCTGATGCAAAGTGCTTGCTTTTGTGAGTTCTGTAATCACTCTCCATTCTTCTGTATCCTCCTGAAGCTGCCTGGTTGAGGCCCTCCGTGACCCTGGTGATGTCCACCCCAACAGTCACTGTTCATTTCTCATCAGCATTCAAACTGCACACTCTCCAGCTGATTCTCCTCTGCTTTTAGCCCCTGCTATTTAACATAGTCTGTTTTCTCTTCTCTTTCTTTGTTCCTTCTCTGTTTTCTCATAGTCTCCCCTTCAGCAACCTCCAAAATATGGACTTTTTCTAACATTTCTTTAAATACTATTAATAGATATTAATGCTGTTAATACTGAACTGGCAGTAGTCTCCAGACTTCTAAGTATAAACACTAATTTGTTGTGGCTTTCTTTTCTTGGTCTCTGTAAAGCATCTGAAATATGACATGCCTGACCTTCATTTTAGTTTTTTTGTTTGTGTTTGTTTTGTTTTGTTTAGTATTTATTTGTACATATGTGGTTTCTCTCTCTCTCTATCTCTCTCTCTCTGTGTGTGTGTGTGTGTGTGTGTGTGTGTGTGTGTGTGAGAGAGAGAGAGAGAGAGAGAGAGAGAGGAGAGTCACCGCATGTATTTGGAGGTCACAAGGCAACTCGTGAGTTGTGAGTTTTCGAGAATGTAGGGTCTCTAGCTTCTGCGTTTCTTCCCACTCCAGGCTCCCTGGCTCCAGTGCTTTCGGCAGATTCTGTCTTTGCCTCCTGGCTTGCCTACAGGCGTTACAGATGTATGCTACTGAATTTAGCATGTCCGTGGGTTCCAGGGACTGAAATCTCCTTACTTTCATAGCTAGTGCTTTTACCCACTGAGCTGTCTGCCTGGTACTAATTTGCTTAGTGTGAGACTGGGTCACACTCAGGTGCACAGACTGTTGAATAGCTAGGATGGCAGGGTTATGTCACCATGTATGGCTGGTTCAACCAAACTTGCAAATCACTTCAAATCTTCCTTGCCTGGCCTGTTCTTCCCTGTATTTCCAGCTTAGTAAATGGTACTTTAGTTTATTCAACCTAGAAACCTTACCATTCCTTCATCTTGCACATTTAAATACTTTGTGATCTCTATGGTTTTCTACAAAAGAAATCTCAAATCTGGTACTTCTGTTTATTCCCCTCCTATCACTTTGATTTAAGTCAACACTTAGATTCTGGCCAGTGCATCCACACTGATCGCTCAGATGTACTTCTTGGGACTCTGTTCCCAAACTCTGCCCCAATATCTTTGCCAAGAAACATCCTGAGAGCCAATGGTTAAGAATGGAATGTGCCCGCAAGGGCATGCATGGATTGCCTTTTGCTCGTCTCTCTAACAAGGGCATGCATGGATTGCCTTTTGCTAGTCTCTCTAATCTCATCGCATTCTGTTCTTTCTACCCACAGAGCTTCAGCTTCTTGGCCTCTCAGTTTCTGGGACCAGCCCAACTCTTTCCCACCTCAAGATTTTGCATAAATGGTTCCCCTTTCCTTGAACACTCTCTGTCTACTACTTGGTATGTGTTCGCTTTGATTGCACTTGACATTTGGTACAGTGATTGGCACATAGTAGGCTCTTACAAAAAGTGAATCTAACTGGAACATTTAATGAACAACCTGGTGTTATGTGAAGAGTGCACATTAGTCATGGTTCTCTAGAGGAACAAAACGTATAGAATGAGACAGAGAGAGAGAGAGAGAGAGAGAGAGAGAGAGAGAGAGAGAGAGAATGATACATAAATCCCATATGTATGGGATTTATTAGAATGACTTACAGGCTGTCGTCCAGCTAGTCCAACAGTGGCTATCTGTGAATAGATGGTCCAAGAATCCGTTAGTTGTTTGGTCCATAAGACTGAATGTCTCAGCTGGTCTTCAGTATACACCATAGTCCCAATGAAGTATGCTCCAATGACAGTAAAGGAATGCACGTACCAGTGAGAGCGAAAGCAAGCAGGCAAGGAGATCAAATTTTCTTTACCCATGTCCTTTATATAGGCTGCCAGTAGAGTGTGTGGCCCAGATTAAAGTTGGGTCTCCCTGACACAAAAGATCTAGATTAAAGGTGGATCTTCTTACCTCAAAAGAGTTGGTTAAAAGTACGTCTTCACACTTCAAAGTACTTCGTTGAGGAAAAACCCCTCACAGGTGTGTCCAGCCACTTGCGTTTTAGTTAATTCTAGATGTAGCCAAGTTGAAATCAAGAGTAGTCATCACAGCGACCATCCCCACGAGCCAGAAAAATGCTCTGTGGAACAACGGGATGATATTTATATAGATACCCTTGACTGCTACTTCTTTTGTTCTAAGGGTTCTGCTTTTCTGTTGGTAGATTAAAAATAATTTTTGACAGAGTGGGATTTAGGTAGCATGAGACAATTTAACTGCTTTCAGAAGAAGAAAGATTATAATTTAGATAAATAACAATTTATTAACAGTCAGTGATATTGGAGAGAAGTACTTGCCAAATGGTTAGTGTAGACTCATGGGTCCTGACATTCTCACCACCAGAGATTCAGCTCATTATACTTTTCCAACAATATCTCACGTTTTCAGAGTCTGCTAAGCAAACTGCATTTACTATGGAATAATCAAATTTCTATTTTTAGTCATATTTAACCTCTAATTAGACATCTATAACCCTCATGTAGAGAATTGAATGATGAAAAATATGTGGGATGACCTTCTGTATATGTGTTGCTCTTATTGGTTAACGAATAAAGCTAGCTGCTTTGGCCTATGGCAGGGAAGAAGATAGCCAGGCTGGAAGAGATACATAGAGAGAGAGAATAGGCAGAGCCGAGAAGATGCCATGTAGCTGCCAAAGGAGAAAGATTCCTGCCAGAACCTTACCCAGCCACAGACTTGTGGCGATACACAGACTAGTAGAAATGGGCTAATTTAAGATATAAGAGTTAGTTAATAAGAAGCCTGAGCTAGTAGGTCAATCAGTGTTATAATTAATAAAGTTACTGTGTGATTATTTGGGTCTGGGTGGCCAGGAAACAAAAGAGCAGTCTCCTACAAAAATGTAAGCCCAAACTAGGGCCAGGTAGTTTATTTAAAGATCAT